CGTTGGAACATATGCTGAAATATTTCTTAATGCTGGAAATTACATTTTTGGGGTTTTTATCTACTTCCTTTGCTGCCCCTTGTTGAAATACATGTTGGAAGAATGTTTTAAATGCTGGAAATTACATTTCTGGGGCTTTTATCTTGCATCCCTTGCTGTCCCTTATTGAAATATATGCTGGAGGATGTTTAAATGCTGGGAATTACATTTTGGGACTCTCATTCTACTTCCTTTGTTGTCCCTTGTTGAAATACATGTTGGAAGTTGTCTTAAATGTTGGAAATTACATTTTTTAGGCTTACATTTTGCTTCTCTTGCTGCCTCTTGTTGAAGTGTATGCTGGATTTGAGTCTTGGTTTGGGATGATGCCTTAGCCATGAGCTTCCTATTCATTTAGCTGGATTTGAGTCTGGTTTTTGGAATATTGCCTTACTTGCGAGCTTTTGATTAAAATTGAAATTGAAAGACTTTGATAATGGTGTGATTTTTTTTTTTTAGAGGTTTAGAAAGATGTTCCCTATGAATTGTTATCCTATATTTTATGAAATGAAGAAGGCTTTTGAAGTTTCATTTTGGGTTTGATATAAATTGAAGTCATGTTGGGTTTGGAAATCGATAAAAGCGCGACTTGGAAAGGATATCTTTTTCGGGATTGATCCAATCATTTTCTTTTTAACAAATTTAAATGTTTTAGACCGAAACATTTGTGAGTTTTATTAATTTAATTTGGTTTTAAAAATGAATCGGTCTCATTTTCGTTTGTTTTATTTTATTTTTAACGATTTTTTTATTTTATTTTTAACGGTCAAGCTAAAAATGGGAATTTCCGATTTAATTAAATTCAGAAATGATTTATAATCTCAAAGGAAATAAGGGAGAAAGAGAAGATAAGAGAAAACTGAAATTGAAATTTGAATTTTTGGAATGATACAATCTAAAGAGGAGACAAGGTAGCGAACAATCCACCTTCTCTTTTTAAGGAAAAATGAATTGCAAATTGGAAGACTACTTGGAATCGGAAGAAATGAGAATTTAGATAACGATTGAGAGATTAGTGGACTTACTCTTAGATCCCTTAAGCTTTGAATCAATTTAAAATCCAATT